ATGTGTCCCCTCTTCTTCATGTCTCTTCTACATCAACATGTGTCCCCTCTTCTTCACGTCTCTTCTACATCAACATGTGTCCCCTCTTCTTCACGTCTCTTCTTCATCAACATGTGTGTCCTCTTCTTCATGTCTCTTCTACATCAACATGTGTCCCCTCTTCTTCATGTCTCTTCTACATCAACATGTGTCCCCTCTTCTTCATGTCTCTTCTTCATCAACATGTGTCCCCTCTTCTTCATGTCTCTTCTACATCAACATGTGTCCCCTCTTCTTCATGTCTCTTCTACATCAACATGTGTCCCCTCTTCTCCATGTCTCTTCTACATCAACACGTGTCCCTCTTCTTCATGTCTCTTCTACATCAACATGTGTCCCCTCTTCTTCATGTCTCTTCCACATCAACATGTGTCCTCTCTTCTTCATGTCTCTTCTACATCAACATGTGTCCCCTCTTCTTCATGTCTCTTCCACATCAACATGTGTCCTCTCTTCTTCATGTCTCTTCTACATCAACATGTGTCCCCTCTTCTTCATGTCTCTTCTTCATCAACATGTGTCCCCTCTTCTTCATGTCTCTTCTACATCAACATGTGTCCCCTCTTCTTCATGTCTCTTCTACATCAACATGTGTCCCCTCTTCTTCATGTCTCTTCTACATCAACATGTGTCCCCTCTTCTTCATGTCTCTTCTACATCAACATGTGTCCCCTCTTCTTCGTGTCTCTTCTACATCAACATGTGTCCCCTCTGTGGAAAGAGACTCTGAAAGTTTCAGGAACAAAGATTCTCTCTCTTTTTGATCCATTTCTATAAAAACCTGTCTGAAAATGAGCTGATCAGATTTTGGCCACTTTATGATGTCATAACGATGTTTTGTCTTGTGTAACCATTAGCCAATCAGCAACCAAGGTAACCCCCCCCCCCCCCCCCCTTATCACCTGAATCTCCTCCTAGAGCACCATTGAGTTCTTTGTAACCAAATGTCTCTCAGAGGGGCGTGGGGAGGGGCTCCTTATTTTCATCTAAAGTAACAGACAGAGAATCAGCACTTTGGAAACAGGGCTGAAACAGAGGGGATTATGGGTAATGCTGCAATGATCTGTTTGGTGTTTCAGCCAATCAGAGACAGGTTCTGTATATATCTGAGACCTGTAATATATTGATGAAAAACAGTAGTAATAGGGGACCTTTAATGTGTCTGGTCAAAAGACAGATTTTTACAAACCCCTTCCTGTTATCAGATATATCGGACCAAATCTACAGGTGGAGATTAAAGAGGACTGACGGATGTAGTCCTGGAAAATACCAACTCTTTACTGAGGAAATACAATGTGGAATGGATGAGAAAACACACTTGTTTGATCTGTCTGTGGGAAGCCTGTGTTTAAATTCCTCACGTGCGTCATGTGTCAGCAGCTGATGGATGACCTCTTCCATGCTCTCCATCCAATCAACACCAGCGATGTGTCTGATCAAATTTGCCTCGGGGCTGCGTCTGGATGTCCAGGCTCAGCTGTTTGTCTCTCCTCTGAATCTAATGACCTCGGCTTGTGAGCGTGGGGTCTTGAGGTCGAGGAGACCTGTCTGACTTTAAGACAGCATCCTTGATCAACAGACAGCTGCTGTCCACACACCAGCCAGGCCCTCCCATTTCACATTCCTGCCCTCGCCCAATAAACACGTTTTTTAAAATTATTTATAATAAAAAAAAATATTTTGTTTTATTATAAATAAACTTGTGTACTGTGTAGTGATCACTAATGAACTAATTAACATAATTCACTCATGGAACTACAGGTTGAGGGTATTGTTTCCGCACGGACATATATGTTGTTGACTGTGCTTATTGTGTGCCCTCCTTGCTTCTTCCTCTTTGCTTCCCGGGCTTCAAGCCGGCAACATGTGGTTTTCTGCTGCTTAATAAAGCCAACCTTCGATGCACCGCCTCTGACTCCCTTCTCTCGGCACTACACTGTGAACTTTAATGCTACGATGTATGTGATGTCAGATAGTAATATAAGAGTAATAAATGAAAAACAGGTATGAAATACTATATGGCAGTAAAACAAGAATACAGTTTGAAAGGGGAGTGATTTGTGAAATATCCATAAAGTAAAAGTAAATATGTTTACAGTTGTGTTTCATCTGGGTGTTGAGAGATGTATCCATAGATCTCTTAATGTTGCTCTCAAAGTGCACCAGATTGATGCTTTTAACTTCAATATTAAGGAGCATGCCCCCTGACCCCCCTAGAGGATGATTGGTCCACCCCCCACTTGTACAAATAACACTTTACCCCTGCTTACACCTATATGCCGTGAGCTGATTATCGAGCCTTCATTGCAACAGTCACAGGTACACTATGTATATGCGTGGGGAGTGTTGCAGTAGAACATTCCACAGTAGCACCGGTACATTAATCGGAAACCCTAAATGTTTGAGCACCCTCTATGAAACGCCAAGCTACCCCACAGCACCCCCAAAACAAAATCTCGGCCCGCGGCACATGACGGTTTTGTGTGCCCTCCCATGAAAATCATATGTATATATATATATATGTATATCATATGCCCTCTCTGTAGATTTGTTCTGGCGCCGGGTCTGCCGCACACACATGCACTGGAGAGACCATGTTTTTACCTCTATGCCGAATTGACTACTTAAAGGTTTCCTATCATGCTATTTTGAGGCTTATATTATAGGTCTCAGATATAAACATATAAAAAACAGGTCTATGATGTGTTTTGCTGACAGAGCTGAAAGGCTTTCTCTCTTGCCGGTTATACCACAAGGTGAGTTCCTTTTTACTTCCTGCTTCTTCACACACATGCTCTCCAGTACAGGTTAGCTCTGAGTGTTAGCGATGCTAATGTAAACACCGACCATATTACGTCCAAAACAGTCGGGCATTGTTTCCGATAGCAACGTTTCTGATTGGCCCGTGGGTCCACATTTCAGATATTACGTCATATCGGACGCAAATCTGGATCAGCTCCATTGTTCCCCGTTTTTAGAGATTTGGGTACGGAGGAAAAGAGAGAGGGTTTAATTTGCTGACGCTGCGTGAGTTCCCCGACACACCGGGGACATGTTTATGTATAAAAGACATCAAAAAGTGTATTTTGCATGATAGGTCAACTTTAAACGTATTTTGTAAAGGAAATCACGCACTTAACTGATTGATGTGTCATCTTACAAACTGATGACACAATGGCATATTTCAACCTGAGCATCTAACTGTAAAGCAATACATATCAGTGTGTAGGTGCGTGTGTCCTTTGACATTCAACCGATCTACTTTGCATTTGGCAGGTGGATGGTTTGAATTTGGTGCATTATTGGACATGTCGATATAGAACACTTTGAGTCACTGTGTGGATCAGGAGTTGGGTTATACTGCAGTTCACTTTTGCTGATGCATCCTGGATAACAAAGTTAATAGGTTAAAAGGTTAATAAAGGTTCTTCTTCTTCTTCTTCTAACCAATGCAACAGGGATGCTGGATATACTAACGTACATCTTCTTTACTCTCAATTCCCTACAGTAACACGGCCACTCTGCCATTGCAACTCAAATCGTTTTATGTTTCCTTTTTAACTTTAACTTTTCACTTAGCTGACGTTGTCCAAATCAACGTACTGTACAAAGACTTCTCAATATATCACACACAGTTGGTCAGGCCTTAAGGAGCAATTCTGGTTTCAGTAGCTTGCCCAATAAAACGTTGACATGTTGATTTATGGGGATCGAACCACAATCATTTAAACCCTGAGCAACATTCACTAACTGAAAATATTGGTTTTAGAGGTGTTACTATGCAAACAGCAGTGGTTATGTCAGAGCAAGCAATAACCATGTCTGTTTGTAAATAATACAAACATTATCTCTGTGTATCTCATCATTGTCGCTCACCCAAGATCGTGACTGGACTGCATTCGACCGGTGTTTTAATTATTTGTGACCTGACTGTGTGATGCAACTATGTCATGGCAGGTGTATTGCTCAGGATCCAAAATAGCGCTGTGTCAAGTCTAAAGTTGTTTATATGAGCAATTCTTGAGACATCTGCAAGCAGCAATCCAAGCATTGACTATGTTTTGTCACTAGTTCAATTAAAGTAGTGACAATATCTTTCTAAAAACGCTTTCAGTCTTACTAATACCAACATTTATGTACCGAACGCCAAAGCCTCCCAAAAACCCTGTTTGCAATCATTTCCAATTCTCATCCCATGTCAGGTAACACAGGAAATACTTGATATAACATTTTGACTTGACATCAGGCGAGAGTAGTGAAATAATAGAGCTATGGCTTTATTAGAGTACCAACAGGGAAGTCTTCATGGCCATGGCACATATGCTTTTGTTATTTTTGGGGTTTACTGACTCAATTAAAAAACTTCACAGTTATTCAGTAAAGAAGTTTGAGAGCTCTCCAAATTAATTGTGGTTAAATAAGGGTTAGGCTTTTATATTGGAGTGTAGGACACTTTCTAGTGCATTCAAGCACTACTTAAAATACAAACAAGTGCTTGTACTGAATGAACACACAACAATCATGGATGTCCATGGACTCATGTGTGTCTTTTGAACCTTCACTGAACCCCAGGATGTTTTCTATCATTAGTTCAGCTACAAACCAACATGGATTAAGCCAAGAGTGGATGTGTAATCCAGGTTTAATCCAGGATAGAGGCTTCACGAGTGATTTAAGGTATACACTGTCACTCTTGTTGTGAGTTAAGCATGTTATGAAGTACATTTACTCAACTTGTACTTATTATTTGATTATTTAATATACATGATTATGAGATGGGTTTAACAAGTATTTTTTACTTATGGTACATTAAGTATAATTGGATGCGTAAGGAAGTACGATTTTTTGAATGCTGGACTTTTAGAATGTTCACCATTTAGTATTGCTAACATAAAAATCTAATGACTTCTTCCATCACTGAGAAAGTGTATCGTTTGTGTCCCAAAGCACGGCGGTCCTACCTGCTCCAGTTTCCAGTGAAACTCAGCCGGTCTGAAGGTGTCCACCTGGGTGAAGTCTCTCCTCAGCAGGAACACCAGGCGGCAGTTATGGACGTACAGCGAGTAGTGATGACGGTTCATCTCTGTGGGAAGAAGAGAAGGAAGTGGGCACCAGGGAGCCAATCATCACACCTGGGTGGGGGAAGTCATCGATACAGCATAGTATTGCGATATTGTTTCGATACACGGACGCCAAGTATCGATATTTTATTATATGAACTATTCATATTGCAAATCCAAATTAACTTGGCATAGCTAACATCAAATTCTGAGCGAGCGAAGAAAATAACTCAATCAATCATGTGCAAAGACCTGCATCCATACAGCGTTGTGGAAAACGTTTGTCTCATGTTAACGACACTGGAACCCAATAATCATGCAATCATATATATCAATATATATGCGCAATATAACGTATCGCAATACTTAGCATATCGTAGGATTGCAATATTATCGTGTCGTGGCTTAAGTATCACGATAGTATGGTATCGTGGGGAGCCTGATTCCCACCCCTACCACCTACTCACTCTTAGCTAACCAGATATGGATCTATCTTTTAAGAGTCTTTAAGAGCCAATAGAGACCTATTTAATTTGCCTTTTAATTCAATTATATTTGTTCACATGTTATTCATCTTTTATACATTTCTGTTGGGAGTAAGTGTTTCTATTAATCAAAAAGGTTTGCTTTTCTCTGTCAATGTACGAGGAGGGGTGATCTGCATTGTTTAAATTGTTTTCCTTTTGTTGGTTTCGGTTTGTATTTGAGTATTTTATTAGAGTACCACCAGGGAAGTCTTCATGGCCATGGCAAAAATGTTTTTGTTATTTTTGGGGTTTACTGAATCAATTAAAAAACGTCACAGTTATTCAGTAAAGAAGTTTGAGAGCTCTCCAAATTAATTGGGGTTAAATAAGGGTTAGGCTTTTACAGACATTTATTTCTGGCTTTTCATGGAATTTCTTGACAGTACGAAACATCAAAACTATGGCCAACTTCTTTTTGATATCACTAATACATTTATCTCTGTGAAATGTAAGTCCTTCCCTCACGGCCCGTCCACACAGCGGCGTGCGTTGATGGTAGGGCGTGTCTGAAGCTTGGGGATTTTTTGCGAGCAACAACCAATCACATGAATCTCCCGCCCCCGACATACAAAGCAATAGCAATGTTAAAACGAAGTAAACTGGATATAAAATCCCCAAACAGGCGAAAACCTACCAGTTTCACCCACTGTCTCTGCCACCTCCCTCCATGCCTCGCTCCTCCGGTTTGTATCCCGGTAGATGAACAGAGACTGATCATACAGCACCGGGTGATTCACTACCGCTATAATGAATTTTCCCTCCATTTTTTTGAATATGAGGAAATGACCTGCGTAGTCTCTCCCAGCATACACGCGGTTTGATTGGCTAGCGCTTGTACTGGCAGATTTGCATAAACGGGATTACATTGGCTGACGCCTCCGTCGAGGCGTCAAAAGTTGAACATTGCTCAACTTTTGAAGCCAGCAACGCCAGCAACGCCAGCAACGCTAGCAACGCCAGCAACGCTCCACGTCGCTTCCCAAAATGCAGTTCGGCTAAAAGTGACGTCACCCCATTCAAAGTGAATGGGCAGAAGCGTTGGAAGCTTCAACGCACGCCGCTGTGTGGACGGGCCGTCACACTCACCAGTCTTGTCGGAGTTACACAGCAGCGTCTCCTTCTCCGCTCTGAGCCCAGGCGTGGGTCCGTGCTTCATCCAGGTGGCGATGGTGAACTGGTCCGTGAGATTCTGCGGTACCACCCAGTCGGGGATCTTAGCCGCCTGATGACCGTCGAACCTGAAGATCAGATCGCTGTCCCGCCCGCTGTCCGTCACCAGGGAAGCCGTCCAGTTAGTGGAGGCGCTGGGGGCCGGCAGGAGGTCAGTGCTGCCCGACGAGGCCCCTGTGAGAACAAAAGAAATGCGACAGAAGATGTGTCAATAACAATCACGGCAGGTATGCGGTGCACTTATATTGGCCTAACCTTGGCTATGATTACTTATGATTGAGGCAGATGGCAGCGCTTAATATGTTGTCAGTGGGCCGAGATGGATAGAGGATGTGGGTATTGATTCATGGCAAATTACTTTCAAAAAGGAACGAGATGTGAGTCACCCTTTCCCAAATGTAGAACATGGCTAAACACTAGAATGTCCTTTTATGGAGACAGAGAGGACGTATTGACCGAGGAACACATGACAACAAGATACGCCAAGGAAGCTGAGAATGATGGGCTGTGCTGTGAATCAGACATATGACACTTGTGTTATACGACATACTGACAATTCACAACAATCATTGCATTGAGCCATCCTATTCCCTTCCTTCTCTTCCCTTTAAGAGCAACTCCATCATCGCTTTGAGACAATGTCCTCTGTATGTTGAGTCGTGAATGGTCTGTTTTCAAACTGACACCTTGACAAACGTTAGTTGATGCTCTCTTTGCTCCTCGATGTGTTCGACATTCACTTACCAATCAATCTTTGCCCCTCTGTGTGACAGTGAAGAATGCGTTTCATGCGTCTGAACCACATTTATAAATCATTCGTACCAGCTTATGGATTGTAATAAATCAAAGCGATACGGGAACCATGCTGTTCCGAGAAAGAATTGGAAATGTTAGTATTGTCTGACTTGTCCAGAAAATAATTGCATCTGTTCATCGCTGCTAATAACAGCGTGTTAGCACATTAATTGATGTTTTCCCCCTGTCTGTAAAGCTCAGTTTTTTCCTAAATGGTATCGACGCTCTGACTCCGGTAATTAGATTCCCTCAGTAAATAAATACACATCGACTTCTCCAGCACCCAGCTGCAGCCCTCTCTTTACCCGATGTCTTTGTACATTATCTCAAATTGATTGTGCTTTAAAAAAGCAATTACAATTTATTCTATTCGCTATCAGATAACGATTATGAGGTGCCTGAAAAGGACTCTTTAGCGGTAAACCATGCATGGACGGGGAGTCAGGGGAGGCAGAGAGGGGACGTGATGCATTCAGATGAGCTGGGATGGGGCTTTTGAAGGCCGTTAGTCAAAGATGATGACTCCAGCCCCCATGCTGGCAGTGCATTGTGGGCAGAGAGGGGGGGGAAGCTTTGTTGGTGCTTTGGGCATCGACACGGCGACTCGGCTGCTCATCAGTCACCGAGGAGAAAGCGTGGTTTGCTTCTGAGGCAGCTAATGCCCTCGCTCTGTCACATCATTAGTGACAGAGCTTTAAGTTGCTATTCTGGTGCCTTCATTTAGCACACAGGGGTTTGCAGGGACACAAGCGGAGATAAGACAGCAGCACGGACAGGGAGCTTTCACATGCTGCTTTAAAAAGAGCAGAGAACAACACCTAAAGCCCTGTGTGACCCTGGCTCTCCAACTGCGGTCTCCACTGGAAGCAACTTACTTCATATTCAATGCACTAATAACTTTCAGTCTGCCGCCTCAGTAAGAAGTCATCTTTGATCAGCCATCTACAGCATATTCTACATATCCACCACCATCCTGATAGCCTCGGGTTCAACTCCCATGTGATTCACTGCTCCATGCCAGAAATGCACACTCAATCTAAGCTGTTTCTCATTCTGTTCAAAGAATAACGATAAGGGCCCATGTCCTAATGGCGCCTTTTTCGAGCACATGCGTCTTTTAAAAAAAAATGTCAAACAAGAAGAGAGTGCACGATGTTGCCACCACACAAAGGCGCTTTTCTTTTTGTTCAAGGTATTTGTTAGTGCCTTTATTATAGATGCAGTGTTGAAACCCTTTTTCAATCCCCTACATATAGAGGGGATGAAATTAGGCGCTTTCACACTGAGTACTTTTCCCGTTTAGTTCCGATAGTTCCTGGGATTTTGCGTTCACACCAAAAAGAGAACTTAGTTCAGAGAACTTTTCCCCCCTTTTTAGTGCCCTGCTAGAGAGGTGGTGCTTTCCTGGGGAGAACAAAGTTCCAATTTCTGATTGGCTGGGCGAATTGCAAACCACGCCCCGTAAAACGTTTTGTGAAGCCGCCATTTTATTTGCTGGCATTAAAATTATTAGCATTAGCATTAGCCCAGCGCAGAAACACAGAGAGACTAACTTATGGCAACACAAAAGAAAACATGGGAGCGGTGGAGATGAGGAGGTGTCGGCATTCTGGCGATTTACTCAGAAGGCTTCAGTAGAAGCTGCTGGGAGTCCCAGCAGCTTCTACTGAAGGCAGTCCCCAACTCCGGGGACTTCCGGCCGGGGACTTCGGGTGGCAGTATACGCCGTGAAGTGGTTTGCGGCCTGCCAGTAAACTCAAAGCAGAAGAAGAAGAAGTGACGTCAGCGGCTTCATTTGCCTAATCCTCCACCAGGAACTTATTCCGGTGTGAACGCGATCGGCTCTTAGTTCTCTTAGTTCCAACTAAGTGCTGGGAACTAAGAACGGCAAAGTACTTGGTGTGAAAGTGGACATCACATAAAGGCTGCTATCTCTAACCAGAGATCCAACCAACGGCCTATATCTGCCGTGTCTTCCTGTGCCCACTGCCTCGCTTGTGACGTTTCCAGTGGGAAATATCTCAACTTTTCAGAAAAGAACAGTGAAGCTCATTCATAAAAACTGTGAGAGCAAGCAGCTTCCGATTGGTTGTAATGGTAAATAATACAAGTCAAACAAATACATGGTAAAACAAACAGATAATAAAAGAAAAGTGGATGATGCTAGCTATATGTGATACAATGTGAAGATATCTCTGTGATTAAAATACTTGTTTTTTTTAAGGATGCTCTTCTCAGTGACCTTTCTACGAAAAATGGCACTAAAGCTGCATCAAGGTAATACGCAGTAAAGTGGCTCTGTGCTCTCGTTGCAATTGTTTTCCTATGGAGGAGTGGTGCCACCCGACAAGGCGGAAGAGCAACATTTGACTAACGGCCTTAACAACTTTCCGCTCAGTACTGCTAACCTTTCCTCACACAACAAAGCTGCATGGGCCATAACAATATAAAACAAAAATAACTGGCTGTTTTAACGCAAGTCTCTTCTTCATGTCTCTTCTACATCAACATGTGTCCCCTCTTCTTCATGTCTCTTCTTCATCAACATGTGTCCCCTCTTCTTGATGTCTCTTCTACATCAACATGTGTCCCCTCTTCTTCATGTCTCTTCTACATCAACATGTGTCCCCCTCTTCTTCATGTCTCTTCTACATCAACATGTGTCCCCTCTTCTTCATGTCTCTTCTACATCAACATGTGTCCCCTCTTCTTCATGTCTCTTCTACATCAACATGTGTCCCCTCTTCTTCATGTCTCTTCTACATCAACATGTGTCCCCTCTTCTTCATGTCTCTTCTACATCAACATGTGTCCCCTCTTCTTCATGTCTCTTCTACATCAACATGTGTCCCCTCTTCTTCATGTCTCTTCTACATCAACATGTGTCCCCTCTTCTTCATGTCTCTTCTACATCAACATGTGTCCCCTCTTCTTCATGTCTCTTCTTCATCAACATGTGTCCCCTCTTCTTCATGTCTCTTCTACATCAACATGTGTCCCCTCTTCTTCATGTCTCTTCTACATCAACATGTGTCCCCTCTTCTTCATGTCTCTTCTTCATCAACATGTGTCCCCTCTTCTTGATGTCTCTTCTACATCAACATGTGTCCCCTCTTCTTCATGTCTCTTCTTCATCAACATGTGTCCCCTCTTCTTGATGTCTCTTCTACATCAACATGTGTCCCCTCTGTGGAAAGATTCTCTCTCTTTTTGTCCTGATCCATTTCTATAAAAACCTGTCTGAAAATGAGCTGATCAGATTGTGAATATATCTGAGACCAGAGACGTGCACACATAGACTCTAGGTAGTGCTTGAGCACCTGCCCGTTTTGCCCTCTTGACAGCAATGTGCCCTTTTGAAAGTTCGTTTTTTTTTGTTTTTTTTTACAGTGTACTGTATGTGGCTCATGGTAACATTGATCAATTCTGGATTAAAAGCTTCTAATATATACAACAATGCCCCAAATGCGCCTTGTAATTTTGTCAGACATCCCCACACGTGCCCCGCGGCACTCCCGTACGTGCTCTGGCTGCAACCCCTCCCTTCCCTGCTCTCAACGTGAGCGCGCAGCGCGCAGAGCTGACAGTAGTCAGTCAGACAGGCCACGGCGGGTGTGTGGTGCAGCAGCACGCAGCAACACGATTAAAAGTGCCCTAGTGACGACCAAGTAAGTAACCACCAGGTAACAAATACAACGAGTGTATTGTTTAATCCCCTAAATCAGATGCCAAACTAAACTATACAGGGTTCGTACGGTCATTGAAAACCTGGAAAAGTCATGGAAATTCAAAATGCTAATTCCAGGCCCTGGAAAAGCTATGGAAAACAATATATTTCCCAAAGTTTTGGAAAAGTCATGGAAATGTAACTAAAGTTGCGTCAAATATAATTTACATTTTATCTAATCGCCGAAATAATCTGCGGTCGCGAGCTGTTATGTGCCATCATGACGCGCATGGTGTTCTTTTTTAATATATGAAGCGCAAGCTGTGTGCTCGAGTCTTCTTGCCTGTCGGGCCGGCTGAACTCTGCTGCTCCGGGTCAGCTACATTATCTACGGTGTGTTCGTTAACTGTGCGGAGTCACTGTGGCACAGACTGACCCCTGATCCCACTGGAAGCGTCTGCGCTGCGGCTGCGCCGCGCTGCGACCTCCTCCTGCGTCCTAACCCACCAGGCGCGTTTCAAAACGTTGCGGAAGCGGAGCGTCGTGTGTGCAGCCTCGCAGTTGTTGGATGAACATTCCACTTCCTGCCTGCGCCGCGCTGCGCCGCGTCAAAAATAGGATTCATCCTATATTTTAGAAATTCCTTGCGGCAAGGAGCTTCTGGGACGCTTCGAGCCGCGGCGCAGCGCGGCGCAGCGTGTCTGGTGGAATAGCACCCATTGACTAGAGTGGCCGCGATCGCTAAAAACGCCGCAGCCGCAGCGCAACGCAGCGCAGACGCTCCTGGTGGGATTAGGGGGTGAGCCGCTGGTGAACAGCTGTTAGAACGGGCCGTTCAGGTGTTCAGAGCAGAGCGGCAGAGCGTGATGTGAACTGAAAAGTTTTTCTGTCGCAATATCATTGTCACTATCTGCTAACGTTAGCTTTAGCCTTCGTTTTCTAATAGTTTTTTTCATAGGCTATAAACAGAGGTGGTATAAGTATAGAGATTGTAGGCTACTAGAGTAAAAGTAGAAGTACTCAGATCTTGTACTTTAGTAGAAGTACTCAGATCTTGTACTTAATAAAAGTAGAAGTAGGCCTACTCAGATCTTGTACTTGAGTAAAAGTAGAAGTACCAGAGTGTAGGAATACTCTGTTACAGTAAAAGTCCTGCATTCAAAATGTTCCTCAAGTGAAAGTAGAAAAGTATTATAAAAATACTAAAAGGCATGAAAATACATTTTCAAAATGCTCAACAGTGCTGCCAAAATTATAAACTGACTGCTACACAATTAAAATAAATGCTTTTATATATTTCTATTAGATGTGACTCTTTCTGGCGTTTCTGTTATTATTACCTGCTGCTTTAGTTGTTCTGACTGCTAAAATCCTCTGTTATTCCTCATTTTAAAGCCGATATTCCGTGGGGTCGGGGGCTCGGATCCTTGTCACCTTTTTCATACCAAATGAGTTTGCATCCCTGACTACAGTTGCTTTAGCGTGTAGAAGCTAGTAAGCCTACTATTTGATTTGTTTTAGATAGGCATCTGCATCAGACAGCATATGGTTATTGAAATAAATATATATGCAATTACGACATACAAGATGTGCCTTTAATAAATCTCACACTGCTAAGGCAGCCGGCGGTTCCACCAGGGGCGTCAATCCCGGGGGGGGGGGGGATTTCGTCCCCCCCTAGCTTCAGATTGGACCCCCCTAAGTCATTTAGAATAATACAAATAAATGTTAAAATAATTAATTTTTTGATAATAAATCAGTAAAATCAGGCAAAAATAAGAATGAAATAACATAACCCTAACCTAACCCTAACACCGAAATAAAGTAACCAAAAACCGAAAATAAACTAACAAAATCCGCCATTATCCGGCACATTTTTGAGCACAATTTCGGAGCACACAATTTCGGAGCACACAATTTCGGAGCACACAATTTCGGAGCACACAATTTCGGAGCACACAATTTCGGCGCGACCGCCACGACGACTCAGAAGGTGCCCTTTTTTTTTCTCTTGAGCACCTGCCCCTATACATGTCTGTGCACGCCACTGTCTGAGACCTATAATATTTGTAAAAAACGGTATAATAGGGGACCTTTAAGTGGACAAAGGCCCTTATGGTATAGTATATATAGTATAGTATTGTAAACACAACAACATGTCTTACCACAGAGTTTCTGCAGAGATTTCTCAGAGTAGGTCTCACGGTCACATCCTTTCCCGATGTGGTTGTTCTGCAGCTCCACTGTCGTCCTCACCGAGGAAAGCGGCCCGCCACACGTCTCCAGGTGCATTTTGGGAAACAGCTGCTTACTTCCTGTTCCTGGCTCATAGTCCACTCGCTTACTCCAGT